GTTTTTGGAAATAACGGCTCTGCTTTATTCACGTAAGCAAAAACTCTGGTCCTTGCGTCGCAGTGCTGCCCACAACGCCTCCATTGTTATGAATTGAAGTGAATATTGTCTACGGGATTGCGGGTGATTTGCAGGCAGGAGCAGTGGGACAGGATCATATCTTCCCTCACAGGCTCCGCATCGATAGCAGCTCCAAGTTTTGTTGCTCTTGCCATTGTGACATTCGGCATCGCGATTTTATTCTGATGACCGTCCTGCCAGCTGGAAAATGCAACCTGCGTCGTACTCTGTTTGTTTTTTGGTGCAATATTGGGGCGCAGCACATATTTCGACCAGGAAACCTTTTCGTGTTTTTTCAAACCATCGCTTCACAGATGTCCTCCACTTGTGCCCAACAGGTTAATCGCAACTCCGTGAGATGCACACGCTATATGCATATAGCATTTTCTAGGACCCTGAGGTACCTATGTTTAGAGCTTCAGCTACTTTCAAGGACGAACTGTGCTTCTACTGTAGCGCCTGCCAATCCACCGTGATTCGCTGATTCTGTGATGGAGAAAAGGAAACGAGATGATGCGGGGTCGTATGCTTGCACAATAGTTTGGCCCCTCGGACAAATAGTGTACATTCCACGTACAATAAATATAATTATTTATGAAGTCTATAGTTTCTCGAGGTAGTATAACGGGTTTGGAGGTAATATGGAGTGCCTATTCCAGCAGCGGCATTCGCCAGCCACACGTAAGTTGGTCTTTGATCAAGAAATCAGCCCACCTGTCAGCAGGTTCTAGGCTGCTGCTGTGTGTGCGTAAGCGGAGGGCTCTCTGAGTAACTGCATAGGATCCCAGTTAGCGACACGAGATAAAACAACATGCAGCCACGCGAGGACCGACACCTTTGTCCATATAGGGCTTCAGTTCTTTTTCGGCTTACTTAGCTGCGGAACAGACGGAACTGGCGGACAAGCACGCGTCGAGATCAACATGCAGCATGCAGCCTGCAACTCGTTTTACCATTTTGCGCCTCAAAAATGCTGAGAAGAACTTCAGATCTTGAAAGGAGCTGTAGGACGATTGATTTTCGCTCACAGAGTAAGATATGTACTCGGGTGCAGGCTTCACGTGTTCTCCTGAATCTACTACTCAGCTGCATAGAAGCAGTGTTTGTTTGTGTCCCCCCGATTGAGAGTCATTCTGTACGAAATTTCCAATTACTAAGGCTTTTCATTCAAAATACAATTGAATTTCAGGCGGTGCAGCTCTGCAAGCACAAATCGAGGCTTCGCTGCTGCCCGAGCCCAAAGGGCCAGCGCTCACAGCTGATCTCCTCGACGGTTTAAGGTTAGCGCAAGTCATTGTGTTGCGTCCCATAATAACTTCGTTTTGCACAACCTTTCTCTTTGTTGACCTTTTCTTGAAGCCTTGCGTTTTTATAGTTGCTCTCATAAGTATTTCGCACCCGTTATTTTCAAGGCCAACACTCAAAGATGCTGCAGTGGAACCTACCACTATTTCTCAGGATTTCACTTTTGATGCTGAGCTCCACAACTCTGGGCAACTCACAAGAAACTGAAGAAACAGTCACGTACACTGCATCTCTCGGTAAGTGGTGCTCCATCGCTCTGTTGCCCTCTCTATACTGAACCTTAGGGTGCTTGCGTTTGGCCGCACAGAGACGTGGTCCGGGTCAATTTCTGCTGGCAAGTTCCGGTACACAACTCTGAGTCAATTCCACTTTTCAAAATATAGGATCAACGCATACACCAGGAAAATATAGGAATGCCCGAATGCGATTAGATTGCTGCAGGGGAAAGCGTCGAGTGCCTCGCTGAGGCCAATGCCGCGCGTGAGGCAGCTGGGTTGGCCAACTTTAAAGATGCAGAAGAGCAAGATAAGTTGAGTAATCCGGAGCCACCAGAGCTAGCAGATGGCAGCCAGTGGAAAAAGCTTTGCGAACACTTAATCCCAGTAAGTGGCACAAAAATATTTCCACAGTCACCAGGGCTATCCTGCACTGTAATATTTCCTTCTTGATTCTCTCTGCTGCAGCAAACGGAAACCGGGGCTCAGTCAAGATCAACGAATCCCTTTGAGGCCGGAACATATGCTTTCAAGTCCCTAACTGCTGCGAAGCCTGACTGCAAGGAAACAGTTGATTACTGGAAGGCAGCCTACAAAAACTTCACTGGGCTGCCGCCATCAAAGAATGATGCTGAAACACTGTACGACGATCAAGACAACGTTTCTTTTGTAGCTTTGTACAACCCTTCATCTAATGCCACTGCAGACTGCCGAGTCGTCACTTGCACTCAGACGAATACCTCTACTGCAGGACCTGTAGGGGCAACAACGGATGAGGGCAGTGAGACTGCGAAAAGAGGCTACGCGTTGCTTTGCAAAACGATGCCTGCAGCTTTTGCAAGTGACACCTCTGCTCCATTCACGTAAGTAACACTTTGACCTTTCCGTCACAGATCTGCTCACGAGGATGCGATTGCGTGCGATTTTCGAGTGCATAGTGCACATGCAGTTGCTGGTGATGCAGTTGCTGGTGATTTGCAGGCAGGAGCAGTGGGACAAGATCATCTCTTCGCTCACAGGTTCCGCGTCAATAGAAGCTCCAAGCCTGATTGCTCTGGCCATTGTGACCTTCGGCATAACGACTTTATGATTTTTCGTGCTATCATCTGAGAACTACCACCTGCACCGTTTTCTGTCTGATTTCTGGTGCCGTGATGAGACGTGGCACACACATCAGCCAACAAGCCTTTTCGCATTTTTCTCAAGCCATCGCTTCGCATGCTTCTTCTAGCTCAGCCGCACAATTTTGTCGCAGCTCTGCGTGATGCAAGCCGTGTATAGTTGCAGCATTATCTGGGATGCTAAGGAGCAGATGTTTCAAGTTCCAGCTCTCTTGAATGAGAGATTATGCCTGCCACTGTAACGCTGCTCAATCATTTGCTGATTCCGTTATAAAACAAGAGGAATGTAGATGGTTCTGGGTCATTAGGTGGAAGGAATGTAGATGCTGCTGGGTTATAAGTTGGCACACTAGCACGTCTCCTGCGCAGCTCCTACCTGCCTCGCCGCGGAGCAGAGGAGAGTTTTGAACAACAGCCCGTCGGGACAAGAAATACCTTGAAACCTGCTTCCCAATTATCATTTTGTGTTCGTCAGTGCAGCAGATGAGGCTCTACATTGATCAGGTTTCGCTTGCGGAACAGGGCATCTGCACACACGCACATGCGCTTTGCCGTCTCGTCAGGATGTAGTGCTCAGGGGACTGCAAAGATGCAAAGATCTAGCGAGGCGTCTCCGTTCAAGTCTTCCCATTTGCATTCAATAGGCCCAGTATTTTCGAAAATCGTAAGCTTTTCAATTGATAATTTGAATGAATTTCAAGCGTTGCAGCTCTGCGAGCATAGATCTAGGTTGGTGTTGAGGCTCCCCAATGCACGGCCACTGCTCACCAACAGATCTCCAAACAAGCAGCAGGAAACAAACCAGTGCCTCCTGGTATTGCGCCCTTGTGCACTGCCTCCGCTGATAGCCTTCCTTTTTACATTTCTTTTTAAAATTTTTTGCAGCCGTGGTTTTCAAAGGTAACTCCTCGAAGATGTTTCATTGGAGCCTATCACTTCTCAGCACTTCGTTCTTGGTGCTGAGCTCCTCAACTCTAGGTACCTCATCAGGAACTGTCCCAACGATCAAGTACACTGCAAGTCTTGGTAAGCAGCAAGCCGTTGCCGAGTTGTCCACATCGTAGCGAAGCTATCAAGTTATCCTGCGTTCGGAAGCACGTTGACAGGATCACAGTCAACTCACTAACTCCTGCGAACGAGTTGTTCTACTCTATTCCTAGTCGACCTACATTTGAGAAACTTCGCAAAATGTAGATGTGTGTGAATGCGACTGCTGCAGGGGAAAGCGTCGAGTGTCTTAGCGAGGTCAACGCTGCGCGTGAGGCGGCTGGGCTGCCCAGCTTCGCAGAGGCATCAGATAACAACAAATTGAATGATCCAAAGACTGAAACAGAGCTACAGGAGGGCAGCGATTGGAGAAAAGTTTGTGAACATTTGATTCCGGTAAGCGGAACAAAATATAAACAAAATCACGTTAGCCAAGGTTATCCTGTACTGTAGCATTATCTTCTTCCTTTGCTCAGACGGACGCAACGGAAGCAATGACTGGGCGCACCTCAACAAAGCCCTTTGAAAAAGGATTATATGCTTTCAAGTCCCTAGATGACGCGGAACCCAATTGCAAGGAGACAGTTGATTACTGGAAGGCTGCCTTCAAAAATTTCACCGGGCTTCCGCCACCAAAGACTGAAGACGAAGCACTCTACAAAGATCAAGACAACGTTTCTTTTGTAGCCCTCTACAACCCCTCATCTAGTGCCACTGCAGACTGCCGAGTCGTCACCTGCACTCAAACGACTACCACTACTCCAGTTGACGGAGTGGGCTCAACTTATGTGGGAGGCGGAACTACAAAAAAGGGTTACGCGTTGATTTGCAAGACGATGCCTTCTGCTTTTGGAGATGACGGCTCTGCTTTGTTCACGTAAGCAAAAACTGTGGCCCTTGCGTCGCAGTGCTACCCACATGGGCTCCATTGCTATCAGTTGAAGTGAATCTTATCTATATGATTGCGGGTGGCTTGCAGGCAGGAGCAGTGGGACAGGATCATATCTTCCCTCACAGGCTCCGCATCGACAGCAGTTCCAAGTTTTGTTGCTCTTGCCATTGTGACATTCGGCATCGCGACTTTATTGTGATGACCATCCTGCCAGCTGGAAAGTGCAACCTTCGTCGTACTCTGTTTGTTTTTTGGTGCAATATTGGGGCGTAGCACATATTTCGACCAGGAAACTTTTTCGTGTTTTTTCAAACCATCGCTTCACAGACGTATTCCACTTCTGCCCAACAGGCTAATCGCAACTCCGTGAGATGCAAGCTCTACACGCTTACAGCATTTTCTAGGATGCTGAGATATTCATATGTGCAGCTTCAGCTCTTTTCAATGATAAACTTTGCTCTTGCTGCAGCGCGTGCCGGGGATTCACTTATTCTGTGATGGAGAAAGGGAAATGAGATGATGCGGGGTTACTGGCACACAAGTCTGGTCGGCCAAATAGTATACTTTCCATGGCGAATAAATAGAATTGTGTATAGCTGGTCTGGAGGTAATATGGAGTGCCTATACCAGCAGCAGCATTTGGCTGCCTTGCACATTTCGTGCTGGAACTTGGAGCAGCACACTCCCTATCAGTCGTAAGTAGCAGCTTTTAGGCTGCTTTGCATGTATAGGCGGAGGCATCTCTGCGCAACTGCATAGGAGCGCAGCTCGCTGCTAGAGGGACCGGACAAAACAACATGTAGCCACGGGAGAACTGACACCTTGCTCCACATAGGGCTTCAGTTCTTCGGGTCGCTTAGCTGCGGAACAAACAGGAGTGGCGGACAAGCTGCTGACGACATCAACAAGCAGCATGCAGTCTGCACCTCGTCTACCATTTTGAACCTTGAAAAAGATGAAAAAAACTTCACATCCTAAAAAACTTTAGGGAGATTTATTTTCTCTCACGGAATAAGACACGCACAGTGGTGCAGGCTTCACGTGTTCTCGTGCATCTACTACTCAGGTGGCTACAAAGTTTTGTAGATGCGCGTCTTCGTTCAAGTCCCCCCGATTGAGAGTCATTCTGTACGAAATTTCCAATTGCTAATGCTTTTCATTCATAATTTGATTGAATTTCAGGCGTTGCAGCTCTGCAGGCACAGATCGAGACTTTGGTGCTGCCCGCTCCCAGAGGGCCAGTGGCCACAGCCGGTCCCCGCGAACAATTGAACTCATCGTGAGTCAACGTGTTGGGTCCCAAAAGAACTTCCTTTTGCACAACCTTGCTCTTTTCTCAACCTTCCCTGGAAGCCTTGCGTTTTATTAGTTGCTCTCGTAAGCTTTTCACACCTGTGATTTTAAGGCCAACACACGAAGATGCTCCAGCGAAACCTACCGCCACTTCTCAGGATTTCATTTTTGATGCTGAGCGCGACAACGCTGGGCAACTCACAAGAAACTGAAGAAACAGTCACGTACACTGCATCTCTTGGTATGTGATGCACATTCACTGTGTTGCCCAGTCTATACTGAACCTTAGTCTGACTTGTGTTTGGCCTCACAGAGACATGGTCCGCTTCAATTTCCGGAGGTGAGTTCCGCTATACGACTTTGATTTCATTCTACTTTTCAATAAATAGGATCAACTAGTGCATGAAAAAAATATAGGTATGTCCGAATGCATATGCATTGCTGCAGGGAAAAGCGTCGTGTGCTTCAGCGAGGTCAATGCCGCGCGTGAAGCAGCTGGGCTGGACGACTTCAAGCAGGCTTCAGGTGACGCAGAATTAAGTGGTCCAGCAGCAGAGGAAGGAGAGCTGGATGAAAAGTGGAAAAAGCTTTGCGAACACTTGATCCCAGTAAGTGCCTCACAATATTTCGAGAGCAAAGGCCCCCAAGGCCATTCCGAACTAACATTTCCGTGTTCATTCTCTGTGATGCAGCAATCGGAGGCAGCGGCTAAGACAAGCTCCGCGAATCCCCTTGAGGCCGGAACATATGCTTTCAAGTCCCTAACTGCCGAGCAACCCAACTGCAAGGAAGCAGTTGATTACTGGAAGGCAGCCTACAAAAACTTCACCGGACTCCCGCCATCAAAGAATGATGCTGGAACACTGTACGACAATCAGGACAATATTTCCTTTGTAGCTTTGTACAACCCTTCATCTAATGCCACTGCAGACTGCCGAGTCGCCACTTGCACTCAAACGAATACATCTACTACAGGGCCAGGACCTGCAATTGCAGAAACAGATGGGGGCAGCGACACTACGAAAAAAGGCTACGCTCTGCTTTGCAAGACGAAGCCTACTGCTTTTGCAAGTGACACCTCTGCTCCATTCACGTAAGTAACACTTTGGCCTTTCCGTCACAGATCTGCTCACGAGGTTGTGATTGCCGTATTTTTGAGTGCATAATGGCCATGCGGTTGCTGGGGTTTCGCAGGCAGGAGCAGTGGGACAAGATCATGTCTTCGCTCACAGGCTCCGGGTCAATAGCAGCTCCAAGCCTGATTGCTCTGGCCATTGTGACGTTCGGCATTATGACTTTATGATGTTTCGTGCTATCCTCTGAGCACTACTACCTGCATCCTGTTCTGTCTGATTTCTGGTGCCGTCCTGAAAAGTAGCGCACGTGTCAGGCAAGAAGCCCTAGTATAGCGCCTACTAGTACATGTGAAAAGCACTAACCTTTTCGCTTGTTTCCATCTCAACTTACCGCACCTAAGAATGTTGAACAATTCTTGGATGACTTGCTCTTCGCATTTTCCCCAAACAATCACTTCGCAAGCTTCTTCCATCTCAACCGCACAATTTCATCGCTGCTCTGCGTGATGCAAGCCGTGTATAGTTGCAGCATTTCTAGGATACTGAGGGGCAGATATTTCAAATTCAAGCTTTCTTCAATGACAAATTGTGCCTGCCATTGTACCGCCATCCAATCATTGGGTGATTCCGTTATAAATGGGAGGAATGTAGATGCTCCTGGGTTATAAGGTGGCACGTTAGCATGTCTCCTTGCCCAATTGGTGAACTGACCAGTATAATGAGATTATTTGTGTTGCCTTTGATGCTTCTAGTGGGATTATAACGGGCTTGGAGTCATTTTGTTCTGCCTTCTGCCGTGCAGGGAACAGCTTCCTCCAGCTACACACACTTCGTTATTGAAAATTTCCAGCTGCCCATTAGCTACTAGGCATTTGTACTAGCCTTTAGACTGTGTTGTGGTGTTGGGAAAAGATGTTTTACTCAAGCGTAGGGAAACCCCGCTCGCTGTTACCAGGAAAGGGCAAGACAAACTCAAGACACGGACACCGACAACTTGCCACCTCAAACGCTTCATTTCCTCTTTACACTCGAAATTTCGTTTGGGTAGGACTGCTATTTCAGTCAACTGGGGAGTCGGCATTCCCGGTCGGGAGTGGGCACTTTCGACCTTGCTGACGGGCGCCAAAGAAGAGCTGTCAACAACCGCCCGTCAAAATCAAGAAATACCTTAACATCTGCACCTCAGTTTTCATTTTGTCTTCGTAAGTGCAGCAGAGCTTAAATGAGGCTCTACAATGATCAGACTTCGCATGCGGAATAGGGCATCCTCACACACACACATGCGCCTGGCCTTCTCATCAGGATCTAGTGCTCAGGGGACTGCAAAGATCTAACGAGGCGTCTCCGTTCAAGTCTTCTCATTCACACTCACTAGGCTCAATATTTCCGGAAATATCATCTCTTTCAACTGATAAAGTGAATGAATTTCGAGTGTTGCAGCTCTGCGAGCACAGATTGCGGTCTCCCCAATGCACGGCCACTGCTCACCAACGAATCTCTAAACAGGCATTAACGGCAGCCGAAAACAAACCACTGGCTCCCGGTATTGCGCCCTTGTTCGCTGCCTTCGCTTACAGCCTTCCTTTTCATATTTCTTTTTAAAATTTTTTGTAGCCGTGATTTTTTAAGGTCACTCCTCAAAGATGTTTCACTGGAGCCTACCATTACTTCTCAGCACTTTGTTCTTGGTGCCGAGTGCCTCAACTCTGGGTACCTCATCAGGAACTGGCCCAACGATCAAGTACACTGCAAGTCTCGGTAAGTAGCAAACCTTTGCGAAGTTGTTTACATCATAGTGAAGCCATCATGCCATCCTCCTTTCAGTGTCACGGAGATAGGGTCACAGTCAACTCATCAACTCCTGCAAGCGAGTTATGCAGGGGAAGGCGTTGAGTGCTTTAGCGAGGTCAACGCTGCGCGTGAGGCAGCTGGGCTGCCCAACTTCGCAACAGCTTCGGGCGGCAATGCGTTAACTGCTCCGGAGGGAACAGAGCTACAGGAGGACAGCGAGTGGAAAAAGGTCTGCACGCATTTGATTCCGGTAAGCGGAACACAATATGATCAACGTTATGGCTACAAATGTTATTCTGTACTGTAGGACTATCTTATTCTTTCGCTCAGACGCAAGCAACGGAAGCAATGGCTGGGTCGAGTACAGCGAATCCTTTTCAAGACGGAACATATGCTTTCAAGTCCCTAACTGCTGCGAAGCCTGACTGCAAGGAAACAGTTGATTACTGGAAGGCAGCCTACAAAAACTTCACTGGCCTTCCGCCATCAAAGACTGAAGGCGAAACACTCTACAAAGATCAAGACAATGTTTCTTTTGTAGCCCTCTACAATCCTTCTTCTGATGCCACTGCAGACTGTCGAGTCGTCACTTGCACTCAAACAATTACCTCTGCTACAGATGATGCAGATGATGCAGAGGATCCAGTGGGGTCAAGTTATGCGGGAGGCGACAACACAAAAAATGGTTATGCGTTGATTTGCAAGACGATGCCTGGTGCATTTGGAACTGGCAGCTCTGCTCCATTCACGTACGCAACGATTTAGTTCATGCACCGCAGTGCTGCCCACAACGCCTCCATTGCCATGAGTTAAACTGAATATTGTCTATGGGAATGCGGGTGATTTGCAGGCAGGAGCAGTGGGACAGGATCGTATCTTCTCTCACAGGTTCCGCATCGATAGCAGCTCCAAGTTTTGTTGCTCTTGCCATTGTGGCATTCGGCATTATGACTTTATTGTGATGCTCGTCCTACCAGTTGAAGGGCACGACCTGCGTCTCGCTCTTCCTGATTCAGTGTGCAGTCATGAGATATGGCACGCCTGCCGAGCGAGAAGACTTTTCGCACTTTTCTAAACCACTTCACGGGCTTCTTGCGCTTCTGAGCCACAATTTAATCGCAACTCTACGCCATGCAGGCCTTTTTGCCCGTTGTATTTTCTGTAGCCATGAAAAGCTGTTTCTTTTAGCTTCGGCTCTGACAAGTTAGGCCTGCTTCTGCAGCAGCAGCCGACCGTTCGCTTATTTCGTCACAGGAAGAAGGAAGCTAGTAACTCCCGGTTTTTACGTGCCATGCTAGTATGTGGACTTGCCCAAAAGGTAAGCATGCCAATAGAATAAAATCGTTTGTGATACCACTGGTGCCTCGAATGATATTAGAATACTATTTCTGCCGGGTCACCGGCGGCGTGTGCCTTCTGCACACACTTCGTCATTGGAACTGTAAAGAAGCCCAATGAATACCAGGAGTTATTATTAGCTGTATTATGCTGCGTGGTGTTGGCAGAAGGCCCTTTGTGCCACTGCAGTGGAACGCCGCTCGCTAGTACCAGGAAAGGGCACAACAGATTGAGGGACCACGGAAATTTGACACCTTGCTGCGTCAAGTGTTTCAGTTCCTTTTCATGTTAGAAATTTCTGTTAGTTAGACCACTTACACCAGGCATATAAGAGTCTGGTGCTCCCGGCCTGCCTCGCCGTATCAAACATAAGTTTCGAGCCAGCTCTCGTCGAGGTGAAGAAGCACATTGAAGCCTGTAACTCATTTGCCATTTCGTGTTCAGAAATTCTGCACATCGTATAAGAAATTTATGTACAGATTATATTTTGCCTCTGAAATACAACATGCACAGAGGTGCGTGCCATTGGCCCTCTGAAGGGAATCTAGTGTTCTACTGCTCAGGGGACTGGACAAATTTAGTGAGGCGACTTTCTTTAAATCCCTCATTCACACTCATTCCAGACGACATTTTCAAAACGTTCTGTCCTTCCACAGTCAATTTGATTGAATTTGAGGTGGTGCAAACTTGCAGGCACGCATCCATTGTTCAGTGCTGCCCGACGGCCACCGCTCACCAACGGAGCAGCATGAAACGAAACGTTGGCTCCCAGTATAACTTCCTTGTGCACCACTCTTGGTGAAATCCTTGCCTTTCCAAATTCTTCTTTTAGTTTTTTCGCAGCTGCAATTTTTAAAGGTCATTCATCAAAGATGTTTCATTGGAGTCCAGCATCACTTCTCAGCACTGTGTTCTTGGTGCTGAGCGCCACAACTCTAGGTAGCTCGGAAGGAGATGGAACAACAATCAAGTATAAAGCAACTATCGGTAAGCTGTAAACCTTCAGGATGCTGCTTACTTCGTAGTGAAACTCAGGCAGTCTTGCGTTCAGTAGCATGGAGACAGGATCTCTGGCAACTTCCAAAGGTGGGCTCCGCCGCCTCAAGTGAGCCCTACTACGCTGTGCACCGTCCACTCTACTTTCAAGGACTAGCTTCCGCTGAAGCGTCACAAAGTGCAAATGCGTCTGACTGCAACTGCTGCAGGGCAGAGCCCCGTGTGCCTCAGCGAGGTCAACACTGCACGTCAGGCAGTTGGGCTGCCCAATTTTGCAGAGGCTACAGATGATAAAAAATTAGACGATCCAAAGGGAGCAGAGCTCCAGGATGGCAACGACTGGAAAAAAGTCTGCGAATACTTGATTCCAGTAAGCGGCACCAAATACTACCGACGTCATGGCCAACAGCATTATCCTGACCTACAAGCTTACCTTCTTGCTTTGCTCAGACTCAAGAAGCGGCACCGGTGACTGAAGTAAGCGCAACGAAGCCATTTGAAGACGGAACTTATGCTTTCAAGTCCCTAGCTGACAAGGAACCCAATTGCAAGGAAACAGTTGATTCGTGGACAGCAGCCTACAAAAACTTCACTGGCCTTCCTCCGTCAAAGACTGAAGGCGACACACTGTACAGCAATCAAAATAACGTTTCTTTTGTAGCCCTGTACAACCCTTCATCTAGTGCCACTGCAGACTGCCGAGTCGTCACTTGCACTCAAACGACTACCTCCACTACAGGTAATGGTATGCTGTCAGCTAATGCGGAGGGCGAAACTACAAAAAACGGTTACGCGTTGATTTGCAAGACGATGCCTACTGCTTTTGGAGATGGCAGCTCCGCTCCATTCACGTAAGTAACAACATACTTCATGCATTGCTGTGCTACCCACAAGGCCTGCATTGCTGTGAGTTGGAATGAATCTTGTGTACGGCATTGCGGGTCGTTTGCAGGCAGGAACAATGGGACAGGATCGTGTCTTCTCTCACGGGCTCCGCGTCGATAGCAGTTCCAAGCTTTATTGCTCTTGGCATTGTGACATTCGGCATCACGACTTTATTCTGATGCTCGTCCTTCCAGCTGGAAAGTGCAATCTGCGTCGTGCTTTATTTGATTTTGGGTGCAGTGCTGGGGCCTAGCATATATTTCGACCAGGAAACATTTTCGTGATTTTTTAAACGACCGCTTCACAGATTTCTTCCACTTCTGCCCAACAGGCTAATCCCAACTCCAATAGATGCAAGCTCTATATGCATACGGCATTTTCCAGGATGCTGAGATATATATTTTTTTTAGCTTCAGCTCTTTTCAGCGACCAGTTGTGCTGTTACTTTAGCACCTGCCAATCATTCGTTAATTCTGTGGTAGAGAAAGAGAGACGAGATGATGCGGGGTTGTATGCTGGCACACAAGTTTGTCCCCTCGAACAAATAGTATACTTTCCATGTACAATAAATAGAATTGTTTATGAAGCCTATAGCTTCTCGATGTAATATAACGGGTTTGGAGGTAATATGGAGTACCTATGCCAGCGGCATCATTCGCCTGCCTTACACACACTTCGGTGTTGGAGCAGGACACTGCCCACCAGTCGTAAGCAGCAGCTTGTAGGCTGCTCTGTGTGTGTAGGCGGAGTGCACTTTGCGTAATTGCATAGGAGCCCAGTTGGCTGGACGAGAAAAAACGACACGTATCCACGGGAGAACCGACACCTTGCTCCACGCGGGACTTCAGTCCTTCTTCGGGTCGCTTAGCTGCGGAACAAACAGGAGTGGCGGAGAGACTCCCGTAGAGATCAGCATGCAGCATGCACCAGCCAGCACGTTTACCATTTTGGTCTTCACACAAATGAAAAAGGTTTCACACCTTTATAAATGCTATGGGAAGATTAACTTTTGCTTACAGAGTAAGACATGCACAGAGGTGCAGGCTTCACGTGTTCTTGTCACTACTACTAAGGTGGCTACAAGGTTCTGCAGATGTGTGCCCTTGTTTGAGTCCGACCGATTGAGAATTTTTCTGCACGAAATTTGCAATTACTAATGCTTTGATTCGATAATTTAATTGAATTTCAGGCTGTGCAGCTCTGTCAGCACGGATCGAGACTTCAGTCCTGCCCGTTCCCCGAGGGCCAGTGGTCAAGGCTGATCCCCTTGAAGGATTGAACTCAGCGTGAGTCAAGATGCCGGGTCCCAAAATACCTTCCTTTTGCACGGCATTGCTTTTTCTCGACCTTTTCTAGCAGCCTTGCGTTTTTATAGTTTCTCTTGTAAGTCTTCCGCATCCGTGTTTTTTGAGGCCAAGAGTCGAAGATGCTCCAGTGGAAACGATCACCACTCTTCAGGATTTCATTTTTGATGCTAAGCGCGACAATGCTGGGCAACTCACAAGAAACTGAAGAAACAGTCACGTACACTGCATCTCTCGGTAACTGATTCACCTTCACTCTGTTGCCAATTTTCTACTGAGCCTTAGCATGGCTTGTGTTTGGCCACACAGATAAGGTCCGGGTTAATTTCTGCCAGTGCGTTCCGGTAGACGCCTCTGGTTCCATTCTACCTTTTAGGAAATTGAATCAACTGATGAATGACAAAATATAAACATGCCTGAATGCAACTGCATTGCTGTAGGAAAAAACGTCCAGTGTCTCGCTGAGGTCAATGCCGCGCGTGAGGCAGCTGGGCTGGCCAACTTCAAAGATGCAGAAGGGCAAGATCAATTAAGTGATCCGGACCCACCACAATTAGAAGAAGAAAGCCAGTGGAAAAAGCTTTGCGAACACTTGATCCCAGTAAGCAGCACAAAAATAGTTCCAAAGTAACCAAGGCTATCCCACACTATAGCATTTCCTTCTTGATTCTCTCTGCTGCAGCAAACGGAAAACGCTGCTCAGTCAAGAACAGCGAATCCCTTTGAGGCCGGAACATATGCTTTCAAGTCCCTAACTGCCGAGCAACCCAACTGCAAGGAAACAGTTGATTACTGGAAGGCAGCCTACAAAAATTTTACTGGACTGCCACCATCAAAGAAAGAAGCTGGAACACTGTACGGTGATCAAGACAATGTTTCTTTTGTAGCTTTGTACAACCCTTCATCTAATGCCACTGCAGACTGCCGAGTCGTCACTTGCACTCAGACGAATACCTCTACTGCAGGACCTGAACAGGGAACAAGGGATGGGGGCAGCGACCCTACGAAAGAAGGCTACGCGTTGCTTTGCAAAACGATGCCTGCAGCTTTTGCAAGTGACACCTCTGCTCCATTCACGTAAGTAACACGTTGGCCTTTCCGTCACAGATCTGCTCACGAGGTTGTGATTGCCGTATTTCTGAGTGCATGATGTCCATGGGGTTGCTGGGCTTTCGCAGGCAGGAGCAGTGGGACAAGATCATGTCTTCGCTCACAGGTTCCGGGTCAATAGCAGCTCCAAGCCTGATTGCTCTGGCCATTGTGACCTTTGGCATTACGACTTTATGATGTTTCGTGCTATTATCTGAGTACTACCGCCTGCACCGTTTTCCGTCTGACTTCTGGTGTCGTCGTGAGATGTGGTACATGCGTCAGCCAACAAGCCTTTTCGCATTTTTCTCAAAACACCGCTTCGGATGCTTCTTCCAGCTCTGCCGCGCAATTTCATCGCAAATCTGCGTGATGCAAGCCGTGTATAATTGCAGCAATATCTGGGACACAGAGGAACAGCGGCTTCAAGTCCAAGCTCTCTTGAATGAGAAATTATGCCTGCCACTGTTCCTCCAGTCAATCATTGACTGATTCCGTTACAAAGAAGAGGAATGTAGATGCACGACCCATATAAGGCGGCACACTAGCGCGTCTCCTTGCCCCATTAGTAAACTGAACAATAGAATACAATTATTTGCGTTGTCTTTGATGCTTCTGGTGGGATTATAACGGGTTTGGAGTCACTTTGGTCTGGCTCTGAAGTGCAGGCAACGGCGTTTGTCTCCTATGCAAACTTCATTATTGAAACTTTCGAGCACCCCGTTGGCAACCAGTCATTTGTTTTAGCTTTTAAGCTGTGTTGTGGTGTTGGTAGAAGACGCTTTGCTCAAGCATAGAGAAACCCAGCTCGCTGTTGCCGGGAAAAGGCAAGACAGACTCAGGACACGGACACCAACAACTTGCCATCTCAAGGGCTTCATTTCTCCTTCATATTCGAAATTTCGTTTGAATAGGCCTGCTCTTTCAGTTGACTAGGGATTGCGCACTTCCGACCTGTCTTGCCGCGGAGCAGAGGAGAGTTGTGAACAACCGCCCTTTGAGACGAGGAACTGCCTTGAAACCTGCAGCCCAATTATCATTTTGTTTTCGTAAGTGCAGCAGATCGTGGATGACGCTCTACAATCATCGGATTTCGCATGCGGAATAGGGCATCCGCACACACGCGCGTGCACCTCGCCTTCGTCAGGATCTAGTGCTCAGGGGACTGCAAGGATCTAACGAGGTGTCTCCGCTTATGTATGCCCATTCACATTCACTAGGCCCATATTTCCGAAAGAATTACGCTTTTCAATTTATAATTTGAATGGATTTCAGGTGGTGCAGCTCTGCGAGCGCAGATCTAGGCTTTGGTCTAGCCCATTCCTGAAAGCAGTGATCACCAACGGACCTCCAAACAGGCATTAACGGCAGCAAACAAACCATTGGCTCCCGGTATTGCGGCCTTGTGAAATGCCTTCGCTCACAGCCTTCCTTTTTACATTTCTTTTTAAAATTTTTTGTAGCCGTGATTTCTAAAGGTCACTCCTCAAGGATGCTCCATTGGAGCCTACCATCACTTCTCAGCACTTTGTTCTTGGTGCTGAGCGGCTCAACTGAAGGAAGCCCACCGGCAGCTGGCCCAACGATCAAGTACACTGCAAGTCTCGGTAAGTAGCAAACCTTTGCCCAGTAGTTCAAATCAAAGTGAAGCTATCATGCCATCCTGCGTTCAGTTGCACGGAGACAGGAGCAGAGTCAACTCATCAACTCCTGCAAGCGAGTTCTGCAGCGCTATTCCTAGTTGCTCTACATTTCAAGAAGCAGCTTCAGGCGAGACATCACAAAATGTAGATGTGTGTGAATGCAATTGCTGCAGGGGGAGATGTCGAGTGCCTTAGCGAGGTCAATGCTGCGCGTGAAGCTGCTGGGCTGCCCAGCTTCACAACAGCATCGGACGGCAATGAATTAACTGCTCCGGGCGGAACAGATCTAGAGGAGGGCAGCGAGTGGAAAAAAGTCTGCACACATTTGATTCCGGTAAGCGGAACAAAATATGAAGAACGTCATGGCTACAAATGTTATCCTGTACTGTAGCACTATCTTCTTCTTTCGCTCAGACGGAAGCAACAGAAGCAATTGCTGGGTCGACTACAGCGAATCCTTTTCAAGACGGAACATATGCTTTCAAGTCCCTAACTGCTGCGAAGCCTGACTGCAAGGAAACAGTTGATTACTGGAAGGCAGCCTACAAAAACTTCACTGGACTACCACCATCAAAAGCTGAAGATGAAAACCTTTACAAAAATCAAGACAACGTTTCTTTTGTAGCCCTCTACAACCCTTCTACTGGTGCCACTGCAGACTGCCGAGTCGTCACTTGCACTCAAACGACTACCACTAGTACAGACGATGAAACGGAGTCAAGTTATGCGGCAGGCAACACTGCAAAAAGTGGATATGCGTTGATTTGCAAGACGATGCCTGCTGCATTTGGAACTGGCAGCTCTGCGCCATTCACGTACGCAACAATTTAGTTCATGCACCGCAGTGCTACGCACATCGCCTCCATTGCTTGAGTTGGACTGAATCTTGTCTATGGGAATGCGGGCGATTTGCAGGCAAGAGCAGTGGGACGGGATCGTATCTTCTCTCACAGGTTCCGCATCGATAGCAGTTCCAAGCTTTGTTGCTCTTGCCATTGTGACATTCGGCATTACGACTTTATTGTGATGTTCGTCCCGCCAGTTGGAAGGTACGACCTGCGTCGCGCTCTTCCTTATTTTTTGTGTAGTCATGAGACGTAGCACATGTGTCGAGCGAGAAGAGATTTCGCATCTTCCCAAGCCATCCCTTCCCGGTTTTCTAGCAGTTCTGAGCTGCAGTTTAATCGCAGCTCTGTGCCGTGCAAGCCTTGTTTGCTCACCGCATTTTCTGTAACCAAGGAATGCCGTTTATTTCAGTTTTTCCATGACAAATTGTGCTGTTACTGTGGAACCTGCCAATCATTCGCTAATTGTGTTAGAGAGTGAAACGAAATAATGCGGGGTTGCTGGCACTCTAGTTTGGCCCTTCGGCCAAATAGTGTACTTTCCATGTACAACAAATAGAGTTATTTATTAAGTCTCCCGCTTCTCGAGGTAGTATAACGGGTTCGGAGGTAATATGGAATGCCTATGCCAGCAGCGGCATTCTCCAGCCACATGCACTCGGTGTTGGAACTTGGAGCAGCACACTCCCTACCAGTCCTAAGTCGCAGCTTCTAGGCTGCATCCCTCGGCAAACAGTAAACCTTTAGGATGCTGCTCACTTCGTAGCCCGTATTGCGTTTAGTAACATGGAGACAGGATCTCTGGCAACTTCCAAAGGTGAGCTCCGCCGCGCTATTCCTTCAAGTGAGCGCTACTACGCTGTGCACCGTCCACTCTACTTTCAAGGACTAGCTTCCGCTGAAGCGTCACAAAGTGCAAATGCGTCTGACTGCAACTGCTGCAGGGCAAAGCCCCATGTGCCTCAGCGAAGTCAACACTGCACGTCAGGCAGTTGGGCTGCCCAACTGCCTGACGTGCAGTGTTGACCTGGGCTGCCCAACTTTGCAGAAGTTACAGACGAAAAAAGATTAGACGATCCAAATGGAGCAGAGCTATAGGATGGCAACGACTGGAAAAAAGGTCTCCGATTTGTTGATTTCAGTAAACGGCACCAAATACTACCGACGTCATGACCAACAGCATTGTCCTGCCCTAAAGTTACCTTCTTGTTTTGCTCGTACTCAAGAAGCGGCACCAGTGGCTGAAGCAAGCGCAGCGAAACCATTTGAAGACGGAACATATGCTTTCAAGTCCCTAGATGACATGGAACCCAATTGCAAGGAAACACTTGATTACTGGAAGGCAGCTTTTAAAAGCTTCACTGGCCTTCCTCCGTCAAAGACTGAAGGCGAAACAGTCTACAAAAATCAAGACAATGCTTCTTTTGTAGCCCTCTAAAACCCTTCTTCTGATGCCACTGCAGACTGCCGAGTCGTTACTTGCACCCAAAGGATGTCTCCATCACGTTCGGAACTCACGTCAACTTATGCTGAAAGCGACACTAAAAAACAGGCCATGCCGTGATTTGCAGGACAATGCCTGCGGCTTTTGCAAGTGACACCGCTGCTCCATTCATGTAAGTAGCACCTTGCGTCACAGCGCTGCCCACTTCGCCTTAATTGCTGTGAGTTGAAGTGAACCGCTCCCATGTAGTTGTGGGGCTTTCGCAGGCAGGAGTAATGGGACAGGATCATATCATCTCTCACAAGTTTCGCGTCTATAGCAGCACCACGCTTTGTTGCTGTTTTCATTGTGATCTTCGACATTACGACTTTAGGATGTTTCGTGCTGTCATATGACAACTGCCACCTGCACAGCGTTCTGTCTGGTTTCTGGTGCGGTCGTGAGACGTTGCACAAGGGCCGACCAAGAAGACTTTTCGCATTTTTCTTCAAGCATCTTTTCAAAGGCTTCTTCCAGTTCTGGTGCACAATTTAATCACAGCTACGCGATATGCAGGCTTTACTTGCTTATAGCGTTTTCCGGAACAAAGAACGGCCGACCTTTTTAGTTTGAGCTCTCCAACGACAAATGACTTTACTACTGTAACATTTGCCAATCATCTGCCGATTCTGCCATCGATAAAGGGAAACTAGGTGACGCCGAGCTACTACTTAGCTCTTTCTCGGAGCAAATGGTACACTTATCTACTAGAACAAAACTGCTCGTGGTATCTCTCATGTGTGAAGCTAGTATAACTATTTTGGACGCAATATGGCCAGTCCGTGCTGGTAGCGGCATTCACCTGCCACACACAATTGATTGTTGGAAATTTGGCGCAGTCACTGCCTGCAAGGCATTAGTGGCGGATTCTAAGCTTCTTCGTAGTGCTGGCAGAAGGCCATTTGACAACTCCAGAGAGCTCCTGCTCTCTGCTACAGGGAGAAGCAAAACAATATATGGCCATGCGGGAATCGACAGCTGGCCCCGTCTAATGTTTAGATTACTCTTCGAATTTAGAATTTTTCTCGGAGAGACCAGATATTGCGTGTATATTAGCGTTGGGCGTTTCGCGCCTGCTCGGCTGCAGAGGACACACTCGTGAAGAACAAACTCTCATTTAAGTCGACAGGCACCTTGAAACCCGTCATTGATTTATCGCTTTGCTCTCAAAAAACAGCACATATTAAGAAAACGCATGGGAGGATTAGATTTCGCATACAGAGGAGGACGTGAGCACAGGCGTGTGCTTCACACGTTAATGTGGATCTAGTGCTCAGGTGACTACGAACTCTCTTGGGGAGGTGGTTTTCGTTTTAGGCTCTTCATTCTTCATTCTGCCCTATGTTTTCAAAGTTCCTTTTTTTAATCGATTGTTTGATTGAATCTCGAATGATGTAGCACGGCGGGCACAGAGCTGAAGTTCAGTGTGCGATCCTGAACGCCCACTGCTTTTTCTGCACGATCCCGCAGGATACACACCGTCGGCCCCAAGTAAAACTTTGCTTCTCATTCCTTTCGCTAGTAGCCTTTCTTCTTTTTTCAATCTCAGTTTTTTTGTAGCCGTGATTTTTCAACATCAGGCCGGCAAATATGCTGCATTGGAATATCCAAAGCAAACTGAGCGTCTCGCTCCTGGTGCTGAGCGCCTCAACATGGGGTAGCTCACAAGGAACTCCACCAACAATCGAATACACTGCATCTCGCGGTATGTTGTATACCATTAAGGTGCCGCTGAATTCGAACGGATGAATGGGCTGGCGTGCGTTGCAAGGCACACAGAGACAGTCTCAACCACCTGCTAGCGACTTGTACTAGAAGATCCCCTCCTTGTTTGACTTGCCAAAAAAAACATTCTCAGCCTACGCATTACAAGAATTGGGTCTATTCGAATTCAATGGCTGCAGGCGGAAGTGTGAAGTGCCTCAGCGAGGTCAACGCTGCACGCGAGGCAGCTGGGTTGCCCAGCTTCGGAGAGGCCTCAGGGGAACAACAATTGAGCGATCCAGGCAATTCAGAGCTCGAGGCAGACACCGAGTGGAGAAAACTCTGCGAGCATTTGATTCCAGTAAGTTTCACAGGGAATCTTAGGGGATGGATCTCTCGCGGTATCCTGCACGGTAGCAATTTCTTTTTTCATGTCTCAGACGCAAACAGAACCTGTAGAGACGGCAGCTGCAGCGAAACCATTTGAGCAAGGAACATATGCGTTCAAGTCCCTAACCGCCGAGGAACCTAACTGCAAGGAGACAGTTGATTACTGGAAGTCAGCCTTCAAAAATTTCTCCGGACTGCCGCCATCAAAGAGTCAAGCTGGAGGGCTCTACAACAGCCAAGACAACGTTTCTTTTGTAGCATTGTACAACCCGTCATCCGATGCCACTGCAGATTGCCGGGTTATCACTTGCATTAAAACCACAACTCCTGGAGAAGCAGTCGTAAACAGTGATCCACAACCAAGCACGGAAAATGGCTACGCAATAATTTGCAAGACAATGCCTACGGCTTTCACAAACAATGATTCTGCTCCATTCACGTAAGCTTCAATGCCGCAGCTTCATCTAACCATCGAATACTCTGCTTTCGTGGAGTGGACTGGGAGATCACTATCTTGGGCTGCTTTTGTGCAGGCAGGATCAGTGGGACGGGATCGCATCATCGCTCACGGGGTCAGCTGCAATCGTCTTCCCAGGTTTTGGTGTATTCTTAATCACAGTGCTAAGTATGACAGCATTGTGACCTTACAAACGACGAGGCGAGCGGTGTATGCTATTGCCCGCAACTGCGGAGTTGTGTCAAACTACATTCACAAAAAAATATTTCAGTTTCAGGCCGAATCGGCCAAAACGCACCCTCTGGTCGTTTTCGCAATATGAAGGGATAATTCATGCTTGCCCCTGACCTGAAAATGATTTGAGGCTGCTCACCCTTGCAGGCAGCATGGACTGAGTTGTTCTTGCAATCGTTAGAGCTGTCAAAAGAGAGTTTTGAGCCGTCGCTCTTCAGCCTCATTTCGTTTCCATTAGGTTCAGCATGCATCTTTGCCATCTCATTAAGAATCAAGTAAACCTTCTGATATTCGGCAATAAGCAATCACGCGTGCGCTTAGCCCTGCCAAGCTCAAAAATAAAAACGACATTTCATATAAGATCTCTAAACTTTTTCTCAGTGCCTCCTGGCCAGACACATTGTGCTTAAACTAGCTCAATGTGTTCTAGGGGCTGCATTCACCTGCAATGAACAATCTGCGGCTTGGCTTGTCATCTTGGGTCTGGTTAAGCATTGACGAGCTACCAATGAAAGCGGCATCTTGCACTCTTTCATCTCGTTTTCCTCACTTGAATTATTCTGTGCATCAGCCAAATATTATAATGCTAGATACGGTACCCTATGACCTCTTCTTCATCTATTTGCCACGTCTTTGTGCGCCTGCCGGCTGGTTCCAGCAGGAAACATTAGTGAGAAGCACTTGCAGCAGATGATTACGACGCTACTGGGGGAATAAGGAACAGCCGACCTTTTTAGAATGAGCTCTCCAACGACAAATGAGTTTAGTACTGCAGCACTTGCCAATCATCTGCCGATTCTGACATCGATAAAGGGAAACTAGGTGACGCCGATCTACTACATAGCTCTTTCTCGGAGCAAATGGTACACTTCTCTACTAGAACAAAACTGTTCGTAGTATCTCTCATGTGTGAAGCTAGTGTAACTATTTTGGACGCAATATCGCCAGTCCGTGCTGGTGGCGGCACTCACCTGCCACACACAATTGGTTGTTGGAAATTTGGCGCAGTCCACTGCCTGCAAGGCATTAGTGGCGGATTCTAAGCTTCTTCGTAGTACTGGCAGAAGGCCCTCTGACAACTCCAGAGAGTTGTCAGAGGGCCTTCTGCCAGCACTACGGGAGAAGCAAAACAACAAATGGCCATGCGGGAATCGACATCTGGCCCCGTCTAATGTTTAGAATACTCCTAGTATGTAGAAATTTTCTTGGAGAGACCAGATTTTGCACGCATACTAAAGTTGGCCGTTTCGCGCCTGCTCGGCTGCAGAGGAAACACTAGTGAAAAGTAAGCTCCGCTTCAGGTCGACAGGCACCTTGAAGCCCGTCACTCGCTTACCGCCTTGGGCTCAAAAAACAGAACATATTAGAAAAACGCACGGGAAGATTAGATTTCGCGTTTAGAGGACACGAACACAAGTGTTTCCTTCACAGGTTCATGTAGATCTAGTGCTCAGGTGACTACGAACTCTGTTGGGGAGGTGGTTTTCGCTTTAGGGTCCCCATTCCTTACTCTGCCCTATGTTTCCGAAGTTTCCTTTTTTTGATTGATTGTTTGCTTGGATCTCAAATGTTGCAACAAAGCGAGCACAGAGCTGAGGTTCAGTGTGCGTTCCCTAACTCCCACTGCTTACTTGCACGTTCCCACAGGATTCACACTGTCGGCCCCAAGTAAAACTTTCCTTCGCATTCCTTTTGCTGGCGGCCCTGCATGTTTGTCTAATTTCAATTTTTCCACATCCCTGATTTTTTTAAATCAAACTGGCAAATATGCTTCATTGGAATATCCAAAGGCTATTGAGCGCATCGCTCCTGGTGCTGAGCGCCTTAACATTGGGTAGCTCACAAGGAAATCAACCAACAGTCACGTACACTGCATCACGCGGTATGTTGTATACCCTTACTGTGCCGCTCAATTGGAGCTGATGATTAGGCTGGCGTGCGTTTCAAAGCACACAGAGACAGTCTCAGCCACATGCTAGCGACTTGTACTAGAAGATCCCCTCCTTGTTTGATTTGTCAAAAAAGCATTCTCAGCCAATAAATTACAAGAGTTGAGTGCATTCGAATTCAATGGCTTCAGGCGGAAGTGTGAAGTGCCTCAGCGAGGTCAACGCTGCACGCGAGGCAGCTGGGTTGCCCAGCTTCGGAGAGGCCTCAGGGGACGAACAATTGAGTGACCCAGGCGATTCAGAGCTAGACGAAGGCACCGAATGGAGAAAACTCTGTGAATATTTGATTCCAGTAAGTTTCACGAGGAATCTTAGGAGGTAGATCTATCGTGATACCCTGCACGGTAGCACTTTCTCTTTTCATGTCTCAGACGCAAACAGAACCTGCAGAGGCGGCAAGAGTAGCGAAACCATTTGAGCAAGGAACATATGCGTTCAAGTCCCTAACCGCCGAGGAGACTAACTGCAAGGAGACAGTTGATTACTGGAAGTCAGCCTTCAAAAATTTCTCCGGACTGCCGCCATCAAAGAGTCAAGCTGGAGAGCTCTACAACAGCCAAGACAACGTTTCTTTTGTAGCATTGTACAACCCGTCATCCGATGCCACTGCAGACTGCCAAGTTATTACTTGCACTAAAACCACTACCACTGGAGGGTCGGAGCAACGAAGTGATCCACAGAGGAGCAATGAATATGGCTACGCGCTGATTTGCAAGACGATGCCTACGGCTTTTACAAGCAATGATTCTGTTCCATTTACGTAAGCATGAATGCCACCCGCTCACCTCATCACTGAAGAGTCTGCAAAACATAGCTTTTCGTAGAGTGGGCTGTGAGTATGCGAGCGTTGGCTGTTTTTGCGCAGGCAGGACCAGTGGGACAGGATCATATCTTCGCTCACGGGGTCAGCTTCAGTCGCCATCCCAGGTTTTGGTGTATTTTTAATCACAGTGTTTAGTCTGATGGCGCTTTGACCCTGGAGTCTATGAGCTGAAGACTCTGCGCCGTTAGACGCAAGTGTGACTTCGCACCTAACGACGTTTGTGAAGTACCATATTCACGGCAAATGGACCAAAACGCACCATCTGGTCGATTTTGCAGCTCAAAAAAGTAATTGAGCTCTTCTGCCGGCCCGAGACAGGTTTGAAGCTGTCAACTTTCAGTGCTGGCCTCAACTAAATGCTTGTTCCATGCACTGCAGTGGTTAAGGGAAAATTTTCAGCCGCCAATTTTCATCAACCATAGTAGTATTCTCCTAGATTCAACAGTTACCTCTTTCATTAAGATGTATCTGATCCTACTAGATATTCTGCAGCGACCTGACACGCCTCAAGCTTGCTGTGTCATTGCAAATATGCGGAGGACACAAAGGCTTCACCTGATGTCTCCAGACCTCTCATCAGAGTTGCCCGGGCACACAGAGAGTATTGAAATCACATCGAAATGCTCTAGATGTCGCATTTATCTGATGACCACAGTCTATGAGTTGGCGCGTTGGCCTTGGTTTCTGTGGATGCTGGCGACCATTTGAGGAGGACGGCATCTCGACCACGTTTATTTCATTTTCTTCCATTGTATTATTCTATCCGGAAATAAGTTATTGTGATGCCAGATATAGGACGGTATGATATTTTCTTCGTCTATTGTTCCACCGCCCTGTGCCCCTGCTGGCTGGCCCCTGTAGCCAGGGAAAATGTAACGATGGTTAAAGAGCTCTTATCACTGCCATCCGATGGCTTGAAATCCAGCAGAGCGTTACAGTTTAGGTCTTAGTAAGAGTAGAAATTGAAAAGAAAACCAATGAAAGAGCAGAGTTCTCCTGCGGGTCGCACACTTGCAGAGCTTCACACTTCAGTGTTCACCCAGATCTAGTCAGTGCAAGGTGAATTTGGTAGCAAGCTGCATTCTTTTTAGTCTCATCTTATACTCACCCTGAAAAGAAGCGTTTGCAAATGTGTGTTTTTCAAGATATATAGTGGTTGGATTTCAAGTGGACAAGTTCTGCAAGCGTAGATCCAGACCTTAGCTGTGCACGCTCCCTTCCGCCCATTGCGCAGTGTCCGATTCCGCAGAGGCACTGACAGAAGTACTCGCACTGTTTGCTGCAAATATAGCTTTCTTTTGCACCTCCTCTACCAAATGACTTCCCTTTTATAGTGTACTAAGTAATATCTTTGCAGACGCGTGCTTCGAGGTTCAAAACTTCAAAAATGCTGCCTGCGTGCATACCATTACTTTTCGGCGCCTCGCTCTTGGTGCTGAGCGCCTCATCCATGGAAGGCTCACAAGGAGGTCAACCAACAATAAATTATACTGCAACTCTGGGTAAGTAGTATATCTTTGTGATTGTTTTTTATGAAGGCTTAAGCTGACATCTGTTCGAAGGCTTAGACAAGTCACAGTCACCAACTACAATTGAGCTCCGTCATGCGATTCCAAGTGCACTACACTTCCCAAAAAGTGGTCTGAGTTAATTCATAACATAACCAAAGTGTGTTTCAGTGAAAACGCTGCAGGCAAAAGCGTTAAATGCCTCAGCGAGGTCAATGCTGCTCGCGAGGCAGCTGGGTTGAGCAACTTCCAACAGGCTTCAAACGATAATAAAATAAGTGATCCAAAACAAGGAAATTTAGAAGACGGCAGCCAGTGGAAGAACATTTGCGAGTATTTGATCCCAGTAAGTGGCGCAGAGTATTTCTAAAACCACGCCCACAAACCATCTCCGGCAATGTTACATTTTCTGTTTCCCTCGCTCATTCGCAGGATTCACAACCCTTGGCTGCCTCCAACCCAGAGAATCCCTTTAAGGAAGGAACATATGCTTTCAAGTCCCTAACTGCCGCCGAACCTAACTGCAAAGACACAGTTGATTACTGGAAGGCAGCCTTCAAAAATTTCTCCGGACTGCCGCCGTCAGAGAGTCAAGCTGGAAATCTTTACAACAACCAAGACAACGTTTCTTTTGTAGCCTTGTACAACCCCTCATCCGATGCCAGTGCAGACTGCCGAGTCGTCACCTGCACTAAAACCACTACAGCAAACGAAGCGCTGCAAAGTGATTCAGACCAAAGCCCCGAATATGGCTACGCGCTGCTTTGCAAGACGATGCCCTCTGCCTTTACAGACGACAATACTGCCCCATTCACGTAAGCAGCGGCGTAACCCCTTCTTCTCACCAATGAATAATTCACAAACTATGTCCTCTGAGGTTGACTGTGAGTATGCGGGCGTTGGCTGTTTCTGCACAGGCAGGACCAGTGGGACAAGATCGCATCCTCGCTCACTGGGTCAGCTTCAATCGCCATCCCGGGCTTTGGTGCATTCTTGACCGTGGCAATTAGCATGATAGCACTGTAGCTCTGCAGACTATGAGTTGTACGCTGGCAACAGCCCAGGCGCTTCTCGCTTCAAGGTCAATTTGTGAAGCAGCGCTTCACACTTAAGCCGACTTGAAGGTAAAATCCTTTCCAGTCGTTTTTCAAATGGGAAAAGGATACCGGCTTCTGTTGCTTGCCTGGGGCTGATTGGAAGCTGTTTGTTTTCGCAGCCACCATGCATTAAATGCTTGCCGCATGCGTTACAGTTGTCAAAAGACAATTTTGAACTGTAAAACTCTCAACGCTGGTTGGTTTCAGCTAGCTTTGACAGATATTTCCCCCATCTCACTAGTAATCAGATAAACCTACTGATATTCGGCAGTAAAGAGGCAGGCGTATGGGAAGCCATGTCAAGCCAATGATATGGGGTGGAAACAAACTATATATGGAAGCTCACAACAATTTGTCGGAGGGGCTTGGGCGGACGCAGTGTGTTTAAACTAGCTCGAGGCTTTCTTTTGGCTGCCTTCGCATGCTATGCCCCATCTGTGGGTTATTCTTGTTTATCTCGATCCACGCTGTAAGCCCTGTGGTGAAGACAGCGTCTCGATCTCTTCAATTTTGTTTTTCCATTGCATTGCA